TTAAAAATTCAAAACTTTTTGAGTGCTGACAAGACACCTAAAGTGGAAAATTTTACACCTGACCTCCCGTGACAGGTCACAGCTTTGCTTCATGCACAAAATTACTAAAAAATACTGTATAAAATTACCTTCAGATTATATGTACTAAGCAAATGTATAACATAAATGAATTTTGTGTTTAGACTTGGGTCCCATCCTCAGGATATCTAATTATGCATATGCAAATATTCCAAAATCCAAAAAAATCCGAAATCTGGAATACTTCTGGTAAGAAAGTCACCAACTGAGAGGGAGGATAGATAAACAAGTGTCTAGGGTTGGAAGAGATTCACTGTGAAGTGATCATCTAAGACAGAGTGAATAGAGGAGGGACAGGCTCACTTGAAGCTTGCGATCATGAATTTAAAGTGAAACCAATCCAATTCCTCGTAAGCTTTTCTATAGTCACATTCAGCTGCAACAAAATTAATTTTATAACAATTTAGCAACTTTAAAAATTAAAAAGCCAATATACAGTCTTTGCCAATTTACCTGGGACCCTTATGGAAGCCCGTATTCTGCCATTTCTCCCAACTAAATAAATACTCCAGCCATGTTAAATTACTTTTGCCTTTTCAAAGAAGCAATGCTCTCCTTCGCCACTCCAGGATAATTGCCACTCATCCTTTAAAGCACTGTAGATACACACCTTTTTTTCTGAGCATATTCCTTGACCTCCCTTTTATGACAACTTTAGCACTCTCTCCTATCTTGGTGTAGGCAGCACTGCTTCATAATCACTTGGATGACAGGCAGTGTGACAGTGGCCATTGTTCACTGGGGTATCCCCAGTGCCTAGCACAGAACCTGCTATATAGTAGCAGCTAAATAAATACTGACTGCATGGATGACTGAGAAGAAAAATTAAACATATGGAATCCACACCATAAATCAGAGACTCTAAATATACAGTCCTCCAAAAACCCCCTAAAAATTTAGATGTCATACATTTTTTTAGATGAAGAAATCAGATTCAGTTATTCATGTAATTTTTTGAGGATCATGTAGCTAGTAAGTAGAGGATTCAGATCACACCTGTTTAAAACTGGTACTCTTTTCTTTCTTTTTCTTTTTCTTTTTTTTTGTTTTTTTTGAGATAAAGTCTTACTCTGTCACCCAGGCTGGAGTGCAGTGGCGCAATCTTGGCTCATTGCAACCTCTGCCTCTTGGGTTGAAGTCATTCTCCTGCCTCAGCCTCTTAAGTAGCTGGGATTACAGGCACCCAACATCACACCCAGTTGATTTTTGTATTTTTGGTATAGATGGGGTTTTACCATTTTGGCCAGGCTGGTCTGGTACTCTTGAGCTCAGGTGATCCACCCATTTCCGTCTCCCAAAGTGCTAGGATTACAGGCATGAGCCACCTTGCCCAGCCAAAAAAAATGGTACTCTTTTCAATACACCTTGCACCTTATGGATGTGCCTACCAGAATTCTGGATCATAACCCCGCCTGGTCACCATAAATAATTCATTCCTATTGGACACATTGACACGAAAGTCTTATGTTACATTTTGCGATTAAGCAGTTATATTTTACAGCTTATTTACAAGTGAAAGAGAAAGGAAATGAGAAATAGCTTCAAAAAAACAGCCAAAATTTTAATAATCATTAAATAAATCAACACAATTAAATGCTCATTTTAAAGACCTTGAGAGAACCATATAACAGACTTAAAGAAAGCCAAATCAAGAACGAACTGCCATTCACAATTGCTACAAAAGAATAAAATACCTTGGAATACAACTCACAAGGAACGTAAGAGACCTCTTCAAGGAGAACTACAACCCACTGCTCAACGAAATCAGAGAGGACACAAACAGATGGAGAAACATTCCATGTTCATGGTTAGGAAGAATTAATATCGTGAAAATGGCTATACTGCCCAAAGTAATTTACAGAATCAACGCTATCCCCATCAAGCTACCATTGACTTTCTTCACAGAACTGGAAAAAACCACCATGAACTTCATATGGAACCAAAAAGAGAGCCCACATAGCCAAGTCAATTCTAAGCAAAAAGAACACAGCGGGGGGCATCACACTACCGGATTTCAAACTATACTACAAGGCTACAGTAATCAAAACAGCATGGTACTGGTACCAAAGCAGAGATATAGACCAATGGAACAAAACAGAGGCACCGGAGGAAACACAACATATCTACAACTATACAATTTTTGATAAACCTGACAAAAACAAGCAATGGGGAAAGGATTCCCTATTTAACAAATGGTGTTGGGAAAACTGGCTAGCCATGTGCAGAAAGCAGAAACTGGACCCCTTCCTGACACCTTACACTAAAATTAACTCCAGATGGATTAAAGACTTAAACATAAGACCTGGCACCATAAAAACCCTAGAAGGAAGTCTAGGCAAAACTATCCAGGACATAGGAGTAGGCAAGGACTTCATGAAAAAAACACCAAAAGCATTGGCAACAAAAGCCAAAATAGACAAATGGGACCTAATGAAACTCCACAGCTTCTGCACGGCAAAAGAAACAGTCACTAGAGTGAATCGGCAACCAACAGAATGGGAAAACATTTTTGCAGTTTACCCATCTGACAAAGGGCTGATATCCAGAATTTACAAAGAACTCAAACAGATTTACAGGAAAAAAACAAACAAGCCCATTCAAAAGTGGGCAAAGGATATGAACTGACACTTTACAAAAGAAGACATATATGAGGCCAACAATCATACAAAAAAATACTCATCGTCACTGGTCATCAGAGAGATGCAAATCAAAACCACATTGAGATACCATCTCACGCCAGTTAGAATGGCGATCATTAAAAAATCTGGAGACAACAGATGCTGGAGAGGATGTGGAGAAAAAGGAACACTTTTACACTGTTGGTGGGAGTGTAAATTAGTCCAACCATTGTGGAAGACAGTGTGGCGATTCCTCAAGGCCTTAGAAATAGAAATTCCATTTGACCCAGCAATCTCATTACTGGGTATATACCCAAAGGACTATAAATCGTTCTACTATAAGGACACATGCACACGAATGTTTATTGCAGCACTGTTTACAATAGCAAAGACCTGGAATCAACCCAAATGCCCATTGATGATAGACTGGATTGGGAAAATGTGGCACATATACACCATGGAATATTATGCAGCAATCAGAAATGATGAGTTCGTGTCGTTTGTAGGGACATGGATATATCTGGAGAACATCATTCTCAGCAAACTGACACAAGAACAGAAAATGAAACACCACATATTCTCACTCATAGGCGGGTGATGAAAAATGAGAACACATGGACACAGAGAGGGGAGTACTAAACACTGGGGTCTATTGGGGGGGAAAGGGGCGGGCCAGTGGGGGGGGGTGGGGAGGGATAGCCTGGGGAGAAATGCCAAATGTGGGTGAAGGGGTGAAAGCAAACAGAACACACTGCCATGTGTGTACCTATGCAACTGTATTGCATGCTCTGCACATGTACCCCAAAACCTAAAATGCAATAAAAAAATAAGAAAAAAAAATCATGTTTTTCAAAGAAATAAGTTTATGGTGGTGCGGTATTAAGATACGTAAATACTGCTTCAATTTCTGTAATGGCTGTGAGATGTTCCCGTTTTATCTCCCTTCTTGACAAACTATCTTTGTTTGCAAATGACATGATCCTATATCTAGAAAACTCCCTCGTTTCATCCCAAAAGCTTCTTAAGCTGACAAGCAACTTCAGCAAAGTCTCAGGATACAAAATCAATGTGCAAAAACCACCAGCATTCCTATACACCAACAGGCAAGCCAAGAGCCAAATCATGAATGAACTCCTATTCAAAATTGCCACAAAAATAATAAAATACCTCGGAATACAGCTAGTCAGGGAGCTGAAAGACCAATACAAAGATAACTAGAAAACACTGCTCAAAAAAATCAGAGATGACATTAAAAAATGAAAAAACATTTTATATTCATGGATAAGAACAGTATCATGAAAATGGCCATATTGCCCAAAGCAATTTATAGATTCAATGCTATTCCCATTAACCTACCATTGACATTCCTCACAGAACTAGAAAAAACTATTTTAAAATTCACATGGCGCCAAAAAAGAGCCCAAATAGCCATGACAATCCTGAGCAAAAAGCACAAAGTTAGGAGACATACACTACCCAACTTCAAACTATATGACAAGGCTACCAAAACAGCATGGTACTGGTACAAGAACAGACACGTAAACAGAGGGAACAAAAAAGATAACCCAGAACTAAGACTCTGCACTTACAGCCATGTAAGTTGTTCCACAAACCTGACCAAAAACAAGCAATGGGAAAAGGATTCCCTATTTAATAAACGGTGCTGGGAGAACTCTGGCTGGCCATATGCCGAAAATTGACCATATACAAAAATCAACTCAAGATGGATTAAAGACTTAAATGTAAAACCCAAAATTATAAAAGCCCTAAAAGCAAACCCAGTCAATACCATTCAAGATGCAGGCATGGGCAAAGATTTCATGAAAAAGAAGCCAAAAGCAATTACAACGAAAGCAAAAAATGACAAATGGGATTGAATTAAACTAAAGAGCTTCTGCACAGCGAAGGAAACTATCATCAGGTGAACAGACAAGCTACAGAATGGGAGAAAAATTTTGCAATCTATCCATCTGACAAAGGTCTAATATCCAGCATTTATAAGGAACTTAAACAAATTTACAGGAAAACGTCAACCCCATTAAAAAGTGGACATTCTTCTTCCTCCAGGAAACTCTGGAGTTTCTCTCTGGCACTTTTAATAATTTATATTTTTCTTTGTAATGTTTCATTAAAATGTATCAAGGTTGGAGATTTTTTTTTCATTTGGCTTGTAGATTTTTTTACTTTCTTTCCTAGATTCATGTCCTTGGCCTGTTGTGACTCGGCTATATGAAAGAAGTCTGACTCAGCCTTCTCTAGCATTTTACGTGTCCAAGGCCTACTTTTACTTTCCCCTGAACAGTTCTTAATACCCACACTCTGGGTAACCCAGGTCAGTTTCTGTTCCCCAGGCAACTCTATTTCTGGATTGCCTTCAGGGCTTCCTTGGGAGCTTCACAGCTACTTAAAAGTAGACTCAATACAATTTTCTGATATTTTGTAGAGCTACAAGGCTTTAGGAAAACCAGTTTGGCCAATTAACAGAACTGGAAGTGCCAGTTGGGTGGGATAACTATTACTGTCAATCATTTTATATAGAATGAAACAGTGGTGCAGAGAGATGTCATTGAATTATGCAAGGTCAAAGTGCCAACATATTTGAGACGTGGAATTTAAAGTCAGATGATCTGAAACCAACATTAATGTGTTCTTCAATACTTCAGTGAATACAATTACTGACAGCAAGGTGAGTAACCTAAAGCAAAAACAAGGGACTATTTTAATCCTCGGCTTTATTCTCTAATATAGTTTGTGTTCTTGGAAATGTAAACTTGGTCTTTTAAATGACTTTTACTACATGGTAAAACTGACAATCATATAGTATGTCATTTTATCCTGTGACTTAGAATGTCTGGTGGTTCATCACTCCACTCTTCTGGAGACAGCACGTATGACAGTTTGAAACATTCAAAACGTGCTGTTCTTTGCAGTCAGGAAAGAACTTCAGGGCAGGACAGAAAGAAATCAGTCACGGTAACATTTCAGATATTGGTATTAGGCGGGAAGAGGAGTTACATTTCAGATATTGGTATTAGGCGGGAAGAGGAGTTATTTAGAGGCAGGACATACTTTCTGGTTTTGTTGAAATCACATTGTGTAAGAAGCTGCCTATTTCATTAATATATAAAGCCGGCCTTCCCTTACAGGTGGAGGCTACATTATCCCTGATTATGCTTCATTTTTAAAAAGCGAACTTGAGGAGAAAGACTCAGGGCTGTATCACATACTTTCCTTAGTTTTAGTTTTATCAGAAGCGTATTATTAACAAGTACTCTCTTTCAAAACGACAAGATACAAACAAGAGTAGGAAAAAATCCATTTTCTTATCTCATGATCGTTTAATTATTTAAGAGTTGACAGGCATGAAGATTGCTATGTCATTTGCATAAATTCAAGGACTTTTCTCTCTCAATTGCTTATTATTAAAAATTTTGTAGTAGCAAATGTTCACAAATTAGGGGCTTTCAGGAATGTCTTTTTAAACTAAAAACTTCAAAATTAATGATATTACAAATATTTAAAACAATAATATTTCTGGATTGCAGAGGAAATACAAACTCCCAATTAATCATACCAAATATATTCTGCTTTTCTAACTTCTGGTAAAAAAAAATTCAGATTTATACTTTGTATCTTTCTGTGAGTGTTTTAGAGAATATCACACAAAGAGAGAAAATCATTCCCTAATAAGATATTTGGAATCCAACAGAATAAATGTCTGTATCTTAATTTTAAATTTTTACTATAATTATTTATATTTTTTCCTAAAAGGGAAAATCCCTTAATTTTTGAGATTAATATCTAGGATAATTGCTAAACTAAATAGTAGACTTTAAAAAGCCTTGCTCATAAAATTCTTAGATTTATTTTATTTTACAGCAGTGATGATGGTAATTAACAAAAATTCTTAACTGTAACAAATTCATTCTGGTAGATTTTGGTGCCTAAATGAAAGTATATTCTAACTATGTCTAATTATTTAACTTAAATAATTTTTGAGATTAACATTTAGAATAATTGCTAAATAGTAGACTTTAAAAAGCCTTGTTCCTAAAATTCTTATAGATTTATTTTATTTTACAGCAGTTAAGATGGTAAGTAACGCAAATTCTTAACTGTCACAAATTCATTCTGGTAGATTTTCATCCCTAAATGAAAGTATTTTCTAACTATATCTAATTATTTAACTTAAATAGTCTGTCAGATAAAATTCAATGAAAAACTGAAGAAAAAAGATGACTGAGCCTATTAAAATTATATGTAAAGTTTGTGCACAGTATATAAAACTAAATTAATGGGCTAACGAAATAATACTTCATACTTCATATAGTATTTTGGGGAAACTCTTTCTCCAAGAGGAGAAAAAATAGCCAAATAGGAAAGAGTATGAGGTCTTAATCGAGTGTGTCTCTTCCCTTGGCTTGTGTGGGGAAACTGTAGATGGGAATCCTAGGATCAGATTTAGGATATTGATCTGATGTCAATGACATAAGTCAGCATAGCCAGCAAGCTAATGCTTCCAGATAAAGAGAGAGAAAAAATTCTCTTAGATAAGAAAAAACAACAGGCTGCTCTCAAAACCAGTGCTGTAATCACTACTGAGCTAATTAGTAGGAGATTCAAAGCCAAGCCACCGTGGAAAGGCCAGAAGAGACAAAAGTCAATAAAAATGGTCACTGAACACAAGGTCAGAGTGTGCGGCTGACAGATGGTGCTGAAAATCCCTGAGAGATGAGGATGACTTCAGACAAGAGTGGTTGAGGGGGCCGGGCGCGGTGGCTCACGACTGTAATCCCAGCACTTTGGGAGGCCGAGGCTGGTGGATCACGAGGTCAGGAGATCAAGACCATCCTGGTCAACACGCTGAAACCCCGTCTCTACTAAAAATACAAAAAATTAGCTGGGCATGGTGGCGCATGCCTGTAGTCCCAGCTACTCGGGAGGCTGAGGCAGGAGAATTGCCTGAACCCAGGAGACTGAGGATGCGGTGAGGCGAGATCGCGCCATTGCACTCCAGCTTGGGTAACAAGAGCGAAACTCCATCTCAAAAAGACAAAAACAAAAACAAAAAAAACTTAACCTTACGCAGCCGATGGTTGGTTCTCATGCCCTGAGAAACGCAAGATCCTCCATGGAAGTGCCAATGATTTTACCATCATAAAACTAGTTGTGGATCGCTCCGCTGAATCCGCTCGCCCGTCGCCGCTGTTGCCGCCGCCCCCCTCCGTCCGGCCCCGCCGGGTTCCCTCAGCCCAGCCCGGTCCAGCCCGGTTCCTGGGAGGATGAAGTTCGTGTACAAAGAAGAGCATCCCTTTGAGAAGCTCCGCTCTGAGGGCCAGAAGAACCTAAAGAAATACCCGGACCGGGTGCAGATGATAGTAGAAAAAGCTCCCAAAGTTCGGATAGGAGACCTGGACAAAAAGAAATACCTGGTGCCTTCTGTTCTCACAGTTGGTCAGTTCTACTTCTTGATCCGGAAGCGAATTCATCTCCGATCTGAGGATGCCTTGTTTTTCTTTGTCAACAATGTAATTCCACCCACCACGATGGGTCAACTTTACCAGGAACATCATGAAGAAGAGTTCTTTCTGTACATTGCCTATAGTGACGAAAGTGTCTACGGTCTGTGAAGCTGCTCCCCCTGAGCTGGAGGGGGCTCTCATTCTACAAAGAGAGAGGTGGCCCCCCTTTTTTGACTTCCTCCCCTTCAACCTCAAATACCACCTCCCTTATTCAGGACCGGCACTTCTTAATGTTTGAGGCTTTCTCTCCAGCCTCTCTTAGGAGGGGTAACGGTGGAGTTGCCATCTTGTACCTCTCCCTTCTCCTTTCTTCCCCTTTCTTTGCCTGCCTTTCCCATGCTGCTTTAGAGTCTTGATTGTCAGTCTCCCTCACATCTAGTGATTGTTTTGGTTTCTGTTCCCTTTCTGACTGCGCAAGAGGCTCAGAACCCCAGCAATCCCTTCCTTTCACTACCTTCTTTTTTAGGGGTAGTTGGAAGGACTGAAATTGTAGGGGGAAGGTAGGAGGCACATCAGTAAAGAAGAAACCACCAAGCTGAACTGAAAAAAAAAAAAAAACTAGTTGTATTCACATGTCACATGCCCCAGAAGTCAAGCACGACCTACTCAAAACCTTAGCTCTGCACTATGAAGGTCTCCTTCCTCTCTGAGCTAAGATCTTTAGGGGAAGAAGAGCCATAAGTTGATTAGAATTTGCTCCCTCAAGTTCCAGCGAGCAGGGTAGTAACTGAGAACGCAGGCTTTGTGGTCTTATAAATCTGAATCTACTAGCTGTGTATTCTTTGGAAAGTTACTTAACATCTCTAAGCCTCAATATTCCCACTAAAAAATAAGAATTTAAAAGTAGCATTTTCGTAGGTAATGATGACTATGTGGTGCCATGTGATTCTTGGCACAGATCCTTCGTGAAATTGTAACTACTGTTTTATTTACACCATACATTACCAAATAGAATGTTATATGAATTAAACGAAGCTATCTTAACCAAAATGGGTGGTAATTAATAAAGAATGCTAATCATAACAGGAAAAAATAATTTTTTCTCTTTAAATAAGGATACCTCATAAAAATCTACTCAGAATACAAATATTACCAAAATACAAATCTACTAAAAACGAGATTATCCCCCATAATTTCATATAAAAATATTTGGGCTGGTAGAGGTGGCTCACACCTGTAATCCCAGCACTTTAGGAGGCCAAGGAGGGTGGATCACCAGAGGTCAGAAGTTTGAGACCAGACTGGCCAACATGGGGAAACCCAGTCTCTACTAAAAATACAAAAAATAGCCGGGCATGGTGGCAGGGCCTGTAATCCCAGCTACTCAGGAGGCTGAGGCAGGAGAATCACTTGAACTCAGAAGGTGGAGGTTGCAGTGAGCCAAGACCATGCCATTGCACTCTAGCCTGGGTGACAAGAGCAAAACTCCGTCTCAAAACAAACAAACAAACAAACAAACAAATAATATTTAAAACATTGATTTTTTAAAAAAAACATTCAGTAGCCTAACCAATAACCAGAGAGAGAAAAAGTAATGCTCCAAGAGTAAACTATTACATTTTAATTCTCAAGTCATTTAAATGGATAATTTTATGGGTCCTTACACATAAACAGCTGAAATGTTAAATCAATTCATTTAAGTGTACATAAATTCACTAAATGTTCTTAATCATCATTAAGCCTTAAACTACTGTGACATCCAAATGATTGCAAAGAAACAGTGATAAATTACTTCAAGTTATCAACTATGTATTTAAATACTAGGATATTGGTAAGTTATTTAGTATTTTAGGGGATATTAAATATACCATCTCTAATATAATTTATATTATGTCATACTACCCATAAGTTTATAACAGAAACTTAAAGTGATTATGCATTTAAATAATCATATCAAGTAATATAAAATCTGAACACCAGATTGGTACAAAATGTGAATATCACATAAAAGTAAATTGGCATTGAAAATGAGAAGCTCCTACCCTGTGAAATTATAATGTAAAAACACACTGGATAAAATGCAGTATCTTGAGTATAATCTGTTATGAATTCTGAAATTGTGTACAAAATGTATATTGTATGGGTTTTAAGACCTTTCTCAAATGTAGACTCTTGACATACCTGGCCTGTAAAAGATATATGCACTGACAGACTTAGGGAAAAAATTGCTATGTTCTGAGCCCAATGTGCCTGTTTGGTCCATAAGTATCATTTACAAGAACAATCATGATTCTCTGATTCCGACATGCCTGTGGTACCAGTCACTCCATCAGACCTGCATTCTGGGCTGCATGCTCCTGGAAGGAAGCATAAAGGAGGTTCCATAAAGGAGCCATAAAGGGCAAATATCCTTTCTGTTAGGATCTGGCTCATGTCCACACTCCCCTTGCTGGTGCCATATTCAATCTCTGAGGACCTATTGCATTCCAGACCTTTGTAATATATCTAAAACTCCAGAACAAGTTATGGAATTTTACTATATAGTCCTGTTGCTCAGCATTTTTGTCTTAATCACTTCAGGCTGATATAACAAATTACCATAAACTGGGTGGCTTAAACAAGAAGCATTTATTTCTCATAGTTCTGGAGACTGGGAAATCCAAGATCAAGGCATCAGCATGGTCAAGTTCTGGTAACTGCTGATTGCAGACTGCTGACTTCCTATTGTAGTCTCACATGGTGGAAAAAGAGCAAGCTAGTTCTCCGGCCTCTTATGGCAAATTTGTAAAATTTCATATTTCTACATATAAAAGTTCTAATGTTTATTTCAAACAGAGAATCAGTAGGGTGATAGACATTTTGGCAAGAAATATAATTATCTCCCTATATAAACTAATTTTAAGTATTAGTTTATTTTTTCAGGTACTAATTCCTTGGTTCTTATAAAATGTATATTTCAGAAGATATCTTTCTTTGTTTCTGCTTTTTATTCCAATTTCATAACTTCTCATAAAAAATGAAATAAGATAAAGTTAAATGCTGTGTAATCCAGCTATCTGGAAAAGACCAACATTCTTTTTTTTTTTTTTTGGCATTTCAAGGCCCATTTTTAATAGTTTTTAATTCCTTTCCCAATTGCATGTATCCAGTCCAGCGGCGTCTTTCTATACAGGATAAACGCTTATCACGGTGGTCAGCACAGCAGTGTGCGCAGCACATACATCACAACGAGGGTCGGTTGGCATCTGTATAAAACTACAGATTCTGAAAACAGCGGGACATACAGGAACCTTGAATCCCCATCACAGCAATATGAAAACAATATTTGAAAGGTGCAGTTACGTCCCTACAGGCAACACACATGATTTGTTGAAGAACCATCTACAGAAGTGGTCAAGGGTGATCAAACGCTGCGCCTAACACATGTTAATTCTGACAATCTGATTGGGCTCAGAGACAAGAAATTCCATAATAATTTAAGGCATTTAAGACAATCATGGTTTGTTATTAGATGAATACATTAAAATCCAGAAAATCCTCAGTTATCCCTTCAAACCCCCAATCCCGAACAGCATGCAGACCTACGAGGGTCATCTTTCCTCAACAGTCCTGGAGTCTAGGGTGTGGTTTTAAAATTGGGAACATTTTATTACGTTGTAGGAACAGCAGTTGAAGATGTGTGGTCCTGTCTTAGTGGCTTTACAAGTGTCTTCTTTCTTCCGGTTAAGAATAGTATTTTAAGTCGATGATTTGCATTCAAACAAAGCGTTTTCAAAAGGAATGTGAAAGACAAAAACTACGATCAGATTTTCCAGTCTTGCTGTCTGTAGACTCCCATAAAGTTAATTCGGTAGACAGTTCAGAAACATCCTAGGAGAGTATTAAAGTCTTGAAGAAACATTCGGAGCATTTCTGGTAGCAAGCTAAGGTCATTTTGTATAAACTCTAAAACGTCATTCATTAAAATTAAATGTTTGCCATCACCTCGGAACTGTTTTTAAACATAACCCACCCTGCCTTTTCCACAGTTCCTTCAACAACAGGGGTTACATTTGTAAAATATATAAAGAAAAACAAGGTTACTTGGTGACCATATAATGCACTGTAACAGCTGTCTGCAAATATTTTCACCATGATCACCCTTACTAAAAGTAAATCACGGGGTCAAGATAGCTCAAACGTGCCAAGATTCGAATGGGACGCACCGACGCTATCTGCAATCTTTTTTGGCTACATATGGAAAAAAAAGCCACTTGGGATGGCAAACGCCTGCACCGGGTCTGAGCTTTCTGTAGATTCCAGGGCTTGTGAGGTAGATGTTAAACGCACTTAAGCAGGGAATGCATCAGAAAGCAGCAGCCTCCTCCACGCAAACGCTGCATCAAGTGTTTTGTACAATTACAAGGACATTTTACCTAAAAATAATAGCTAGCTCTAGCCCAAAGCTCCCTAAGTAAGCACAGGGAAGCCCGTTTGGGGTGGGGGTGAGGGTGGGAGTTTTTTTGTTTTAAAATATATATTCTACACACCATCAGAAGCATCTGCTATCACAGATTATTTTTCATCACTAGGGTTTTTGTCTTGATTGCAAATACACCATCTTCTCCATTTCTAGCCTTCCAGTGGGATACCGATTCCTCTTCACGGAATTTATGAAATAGCTCTGTCTTTTCCCCAGTGATCACAGCGATGGGGGCTGTCGCTGATCCAAAAAAGGCAAACAGGAGTTTATAAAGTTGTCCAGGGGTCTCTCCCATCTGGTAGATCAAGGAAGATTGACTACAGGAAAGTTCACGGGTCTGTATTGGCAGATCTAAAAACAGAGTGGCAGCGAGGACTTCGACAGCGAACTTTCTGTGCCCAAAGTAAACCGATATGTCCCGACTAATAGCAACAGGGCACAAAGGGAGCAGCCTCTAAGGTTACTAGCCGGGAGCCCCCTGAACTGGCTTCCCAAGCTTCGGGCAGGCCTTTCCGTACAGAGAGATGATGCTCCACATCATACTACAGGGATTGACATCGGAATCCAAGGTCACCTTATTTTAAAACACAGAATAGCAGCACACTCCTGACAACTTTTTGACAAGTTAAAGAAATCCAATGGTAAGATTCTCCACTGGTGCACCAGAAAAGTCAAAGTTGGCTTTTTGGTTTTTTCGCTTTTTGTTTTTTTCCCCCCAGAAAATTACAAAACACACCCTCAGAACCATAAATAATTTGGTGGCAATACACATTTAAATAATTAATTTAAATATCTTACACCTACTGTTGCATTAAACTCTTATCCAAAGAAAGTGCACCAAGGCGGCCCTCGGTGCTCCCCTCCCGGGGGCTTCCCGAGGCTGAGGCAGGGATCTTCCGGAGGGTCACAGCCTGGGGAGGAAGTGGGTGACCTTATTGGTGGGTGACACCCGGTTCCCATTCTTGGTCGTCCCGTTCTTTCTCAGAGCGATGAACATGCTGGGGTAATTGTAGGACTCGTAGGCGTTGTAGTTGTTGGGGAGGAGAATCTCCTTGAACTTGCACTCACTGGTGAAGAAGGGTGTCGCGGGTGTCCCCGTGCGCGCCGCGGATGCTGCCGTCGGGGAGCACCTGGAGGTGGAAGCTGATGCCCACGTTGCAGTAGAGCCGCCGCAGCCGCTTGATGCCCAGCAGGTAATCGCCGGCGCGGCTCTGGACGGCCGCCTCCTTGGGCTGCGCTGCCACCGGCAGGCGCTTCAGCGAGCGCGCCAGCAGGCTCTCCCAGCTGCGCTCCAGATCTGCCTCCAGCGTGCCGTTGGGTGCGGTGGGTGCGGCGGCGCCCCCTCGGCTCGCCCAGGGCGCCTGCAAGGCCAGCAAGACCGCGGGGAGCAGTGCCGCCGCGGCCGTCCCCGGTCCCGACATCCCCGCCCAAGGGCCGCGAGTCTGTCAGGCGGTCAGTGCACCTGGGAAGCTGCGGGTCAGAGCTGCGCCTGGGGTGGCCCGCGGGAGCGCACGGCCGAGTTCGGGCGGGAGTGCGCAGCGGAGGAGTAGCGCCAGACGAGCGACCCGGCCCCAGGTCGCCGGGCGCTACCCTGGCTGCATGGAGCGGGGAACTGAGCGGAAAGAGCACCGCTGGAGCTGGGACCCTGCGGAGCAGTCAGTGCGCGCCTCCCTGCGCCAAGAACATCATTCTTCTGGTGACACTGAGCCTGTAGATGAGGGATCACAGTGGATGAAAGCTCTCCTAGTGGAACCAAGTGTCCCAGTGGTCACAGATTTACAGGGAAGGGATTAAGGATGTTGGGAATGTAGGGGAGGAAAAATACTATTTACTTCCATCATCTTCTTGCCTACAGTCAATTTTGTCCGAGAGTAGTGACAACTACAGAGATGAAGAGCTAAGAAAGACAGAGATTCATCTTCATTTCTGACCATTTCACCTCCAAATACGGCATTAAAGGCACTTGTGTAAAGTAATTTTATTACTCCTGTTCTCCTGCAAGCCTGGAGGACATTGCCTGTGTCCCCACATCGACTTCTTCAAGCCAGTTGTGATTCAATTGTTCCCACTCTGACATGACATAAGAGACAATATGTAACACACAAGTGACATCTATATCCTGGAACGCTTTCTTTACCCCAGAGAGATGACACATGTCTCCATGTATAAAGTTGATTCCTTCCAGAATGGTTTGAGCAGGAATACTTATCTCAAACAGAATCAAATGGACTCCCTTCTGATTCAGAGAACAGCCTAGGCAGAACCCAAAATATCTACCACTTCCTGTAATGACAACAACTTCTTTTTGAAACAATAATTTCGACTTTTATTTTAGATTCAGGGGACATATCTGCAAGATTTTAAGACAGGTATGTGGCGTAATGCTGATGTTTAGGGTATGGATTCTATCACCCAAGTAGTTGAGCATATTACCTAAAAGGTAGTTTTTCCGCCCATCCCCGCTCCCTCCTGACCCGTCTAGTAGTTTACAGTGTCTATCATTACCATATTTATGTCAATGTGTACTCAGTGTTTAGCTCCCACTTACAAGTGAGAACAAGCTGTATTTGGTTTTCTGTTCCTAAATTATAATGATTTATCTAGGATTATGGCCTCCAGCTGCATGCATGTTTCTGAAAAATACATGATTTCATTCTTTTTCATGGCTGTGTAGTGTTCTGTGGTGTGTATTTGCCACATTTTTTTTTTTTTTTTTGAGATGGTGTCTCGCTCTGTCACCAGGCTTGGAGTGCAGTGGCATGATCTGCAACCTCTGCCTCCCAGGTTCAAGTGATTCTTCTGCCCCAGCCTCCTGAGTAGCTGGACTATAGGCACACACCACCACACCCAGATAATTTTTTTTGTATTTTTAGTAGAGATGGGGTTTCACTATGTTGGCCAGGATGGTCTCCATTTCTTAACCTCGTGATCCACCTGCCTCAGCCTCCCAAAGTGCTGGGATTACAGGCATGAGCCACTGTGTCTGGCCTAGGTACCACATTTTAAAAATGCAATCCAATGTACCATTGATGAGCACCTAGGTTAATTCTGTCTTTGCTATTGCAAATAATGCTGTTATGAACATAGGAGTAAATGTGGTTAGTTTGTAGAATGATTTATTTTCCCTCAAGTATATGCCCAATAATGGGGTTGCTAGGTTGAATGGTAGTCCTAAGTTCTTTGAGAAATCTTCAAACTCTTTCCACAGTGGCTGAACCAATTCACATTCCCCTAAACAGTTTATAAGCATTCCCTTTTATCCACAGCCTCACCAGCCTCTGTTGTTTTTTGACCTTTTCATATTAGCCATTCTGACTGGGATGAGATGGTATCTTATTATGGCTTTGATTTGCATTGCTCTGATGATTAGTGATGTTGGACATTTTTATGTTTGTTGGCCACTTGTATGTCTTCTTTTGAGAAGTGTCTGTTCATGTCCTTTGCCCATTTTTTTAATGGGGTTGTTTGTTTATTTTTTCTTAATTTCAGTTTCTTATAGGTTCTGGATATTAGATCTTTGTTGTATGCATTGTTTGCAAATATTTTCTCCTATTAATGTAGATTGTTTGTTTACTCTATTGATAGGTTTTTCTTTTCTTTGCTGAGAAGAAGCTTTTTAGTTGAATTAGGTCCCACTTGTCAGCTTTTGGTTTTGTTGCAATTGCTTTAGGAAACTTAGGCAAAAATTCTTTGCCAAGGCTATGTCCAGAATACTGTTTTTTCCTAAGTTTTCTTCTAGGATTCTTATAGTTTGAGGTCTTATATTTAAATCTTGAGTTCATTTTGAGTTAACTTTTGTATGGCAAAAGGTAGGGGTCCAGTTTCATTCCTCTGCATATGGCTAGCCAGTTATTCTAGTGCCATTTATTGAATAGGGAATCATTTTCCCATTTTTTGTGGGCTTTGTCAAAGAGCAGATGGCTATAGGTGTGCAGATCTGCTTCTAGATTATCTATTCTGTTCCATTCATCTGTCTGTTTCTGTATCACTACCAAGCTGTTTTGCTTACTGTAGCCTGATAATACAGTTTGAAGTTGGGTAGTATGATGCCTACTGCTTTGTTCTTTTTACTTAGGATTGCTTTAACTATTCAGGCTCTTTTTTGGTTCTGTATGAATTTTAGAGTAGCTTTTTTTCTAGTTCTGGGGAAAATGACATTGCTAGTTATAGCATTAAATATTTAAACTGCTTTGGGCAGTATGGCCATTTAAAAAATATTGATTCTTCCAATCCGTAAGCATGGAATGTTTTTCATTTATTGTGTCATCTCTGATTTCTTTCAGCAGTGGTTGGCAGTTCTCCTTGTAGAAATCTTTTCTTATTCATAATATGGAAACTTTATTTTGCTTGACCTTTATTTTTCATCTGCTTTCTGTGTATAAAGAGTAGGAGAGTAAAACCCTTTTACAAATGAAACTAATTTCCTAGAACAAACAATGACAAAACTGGGCTGGTATTTGATGTGAATTCATAGGAGTTTAAGCTTCAAATCCAGAAAAGAAGTTTGTTACAATCACTTTCAGCTTTGCATCTGATTCTTCTGAGATCTTTCCATCAACCCTGATAATGCCTAGCAGGGCTTGGTGCTGAGTGACAACATGAGACAAGAAAGCATTCTCAAACTTTGTAATCTTGCTGGGCTCCAGTTTATCAAGGTACCCCCTTACACCCACATAGATAACAGCCACTTGTTCTTCAGTAGCCATGGGAGAATACTGTCCTGGCTTCAGCAACTCAGATGCACACCATGACTCAGAAGCTGTTGAGTGGCAGCATCGAGGTCAGAACCAAACCGGGCAAACGCAGCAACCTCACGATACTAGGCCAATTCCAGCTTTATGGTAACTGCCACCTGCTTCATAGCCCTGGTTTGGGCAGCAGATCTGACACGAGACACAGACAGACCAACATTAATGGTAGGGTGGATACCTTTGTAGAACAATTCTGTTCCCAAAATGATCTGTCAGTGATGGAAATGACATTCGTTGGAATGTAAGCAGACACATCACCAGCCTGTGTCTCTGTGACTGGCAAAGCAGTCAAGGCATTGTTCATCTTGGTTGCTTTCTCCAGCAACCAGGAGTGTGGGTAGAACACATCACCAGGATAGGCCTCATGACCAGGGGGTAAGTGGAGTAATAGAGACATCTTACGGTGAGTAACAGCCTGTTTGAATAAGTCATTGTTTGCCATTGCCTCTAAAATACTCTCCTATGTAACAGCCAGAGTAGGGAGCCAGGTACTGAAGTGGGACAGCATCCAAGGCCATAGCTGACACCACAATGGTGCAATTCATGGCATCTCCATCTGTAAGTCTCTTCACCAACTGGGCAATAGGGGATCTCTTTGGATCAATAGCAACATAGATACAGTACAGCTTCTTCTTTTCATCAGCTCGATCATTGAAACGTTTCTGGTTAGTGATTGTGTCAATAGCAATGAAGTTTCCCAGTCTATTGGCTCACACTGACCACGACCAATTGATACCAAGCTATCCATAACCTTAATGCCAGTCTGCATTGGTCCCTGCACTGAAATTTGAGGAATGATTCTGGGGGCTTTCATACCAACTCACCTATTGGTATTGGAACCAACTGGACCTTTTCCATCAGTAGCATTGCCAAGGGCATCAATGACATGACCCAACAGCTCCTCACCAGCTGGAACGTCCACAGTGACTCCTGTCCTCTTCCCTATATCCCCTTCCTTAATTAGTTTATTGTTTCCAATGACAACACCAACATTGTCAGGTTCCAAGTTCAAGGACATTACCTTTAAGCCTGAAGAAAACTCTGCCATTTTTTCTGCTTGAACATTCCTCAGCCCATGAACATGGGCAATACCATCACCAATACTTAAGACAAACCCAGTTTCTTCAAGGTCAACAGAGGTATCAGCTCCAAGAATATGCTTTCAAGAATAGAGGACATCTCAGCAGTCTCAGTCTTCTGAAGATGAGCATTAGAGGTATGGAGATTTCTTGCAGCAGTGAAATATGAACCCAAGGCATTTCTGGAGACAAGTCCAGCCTACCAAGGGAAGGCACATGCCACGGCCGCGACAACGTGCACTGACAGCATCTTTGCAGTTTCTCCGCAGGCTGTACCTCCATAGCCACAGCATCTGGACCCCTTATACAGATCTTTAACCTTCTTGGTTAGTTGTATTCCTAGGTATTTCTTTTTGTGTTTGTGGCTATTGCAAATGGGATTGTGTTCTTGATTTGGCTCTCAGCTTGAACATTATTGATGTATATGTAACCAGCTCAAGTCCAGCTGCCCTCCTCTCAGAAGTCAAAGCATGTGGTGAAAGGAAAGCAACCTTTTTTGGTCAAATGCTAGCAGATGGGAGAATCACTGGGCATAAGGCTCAGGAGAGCCATCTCAGCCTTCTGGGATGAGTGAAGAGGTTTAAGAAGGAAAAAGGGGTGGGATATAGATGTGAGTAGTGAAAAGGGAGTGCGTATCTGCATGTCTTACTCCCATAGTTATCTCAAGGAATTGCCCATCTAGAGGTTTGATTTGCGTCATCCTGACTTGGGCATAACTCCCCTGTAGAAGATCTGCACCTGGGTCTCTCTGCTGGTTTATTTCACAATTGGCCCCTGGAATTTCTAAGCAAGCACATAATTAGATAAGCAAGCACTGTGCATAGATATGCCTGGTGGGAAAGGGAGAGGACCAAAACAGTCTTATAGTAAAAGGCTGCATTCTGAGATTAGGAAGGAAAGGAAAAAATAGTTTAAAAATGCATTTCAAGGCTGGGGTATGCAGTTATATATAGAAATGCTTTTGATTTTTGTATATTACTTTTGTGTCCTGAAACATTACTGCAAGTCATTTAGCAGTTCTAGGGGCCTTTTGGCAGAGTCTTTAGGGTTTTCTAGATATAGAGTCATATTGTCAGGGGCCAAGCATGGTGGCTTATACCTGTAATCTTACTCTTTGGAAGGCTGAGGCAGGCAGATCACTTGAGGTCAAGAGTTCAAGACCACCCTGGTCAACATGGTGAAACCCCGCCCCTACTAAAAAATATGAAAAGTAGTTGAGCGTGGTGGTGAATGTCTGTAATCCTAGCGACTCAAGAGGCTGAGGCAGGTGAATTGCTTGAACCCAGAAGCGCCACTGCACTCCAATCTAGGCAACAGAGGGATACTCAGTTTCCAAAAAAAACAAAGACAGAGAGAGAAAGAGAGAGAGAGAGAATCATATTGTCAGTGAAGAGAGATAATTTGACCTCTTCTTTTCCTATTTGGATGTCTTTTATTTCTTTCTCTTACCTGACTGCTCTGGCTAGGACTTTCAGTACTACATTGAATAGTAGTAGTGAAAGTGGGCATCCATGTCTTGTTTTTGTTCTTAGGGGGAATGCTTCTGGCTTTTGCCCAGTCAGTATGATGTTGGCTGTGGGTGTTACAGATGGCTCTTATTATTTTGAGGTATGTACCTTAGATGTCTAGTTCGTTGAGGGCTTTTATCTTGAGGGAATGTTAGATTTTATTGAAAGCTTTTTCTGCATCTACTGAGATGATCATAAGGGTTTTGCTTTAATTCTGCTAATGTGGTGGAGCACATTTATTGATTTCCATATGTTCAACCAGCCTTGCATCCCAGGAGTAAAGCCTGCCTTATTGTGTTAAATTAACTTTTTGATGTGCTGCTGGATTCAGTTTGCTAGTATTTTGTTGAGAATTTTTGTGTCTATATTCATTAAGTATATGGGCCTGAAGTTTTCTTTTTTTATTGTGCCTCTGCCCCCCTCCAAAAAAATACCTGCAGAGTTCAAAGACTGAAGAGAATAAGTGCCCTATGCATTTTCGAATAAAGAGGCTTTGTTGACCCTGGAAGGGACCATTGCAGTAGAATAGTGGAGAAGATGCCAAACTGAAGGAGGCTAGAGAGAGAATGAAACGAATGAGGAGGGGAGTGTGGACAACTCTGTCGTGGGTCTGAAGGGTGTAGAAGATACAGGGAAAAACTCAGAAGCAAACATGATGGTTAAGAGTGGTCATATTGATTGGTTAAAGATAGGGCAGAAATAAATAAGTGTAAGCGCTGGTGGGGGAGAGCCAGTAGGAGAATTTGCAGGTAGAGGAGAGAGTGATAAGCTAACTGAGCTAATGGCTGAGCTGACAGAGTACGGGTGGAATGGTTGGGCATGGAGGAAGATATCTCTTCCCCTAGGCAAGGCAGACACAGAGATAGGTGAGTGCTCTTAGGAATGAAGGCAGAAGTGAGACGGAACAAAGCCAAACATTATACTCTTTTCTACCATAGTACCTAGCACCCTGTTCCTGGGACATAACAGATGTCTAATAAATTAATGCAGAATAAATGAATTACTCTTTCATGTAGTGATAAATAAAGAAAGAAAACTAAAGCACAATAGAGGGTTGAAATATGCTATGTGGGAAATGAAAGAGAAAGTTGCTTAGGAAAATATAGAAACACCAGGTGGTATTCCAACTGGGTTTGGCAGCTATGCCTTTCAAATGAACTTCGAATGCAGTTGTATGAGTTTCTCCGTCTGTATGGGAGTTGTTTGTGTAGGAGGAGAACAGAAGACAGTCTGGTGGATTATGATGTGGAATTTTTTTCCATAGGAGGTATAGCAGAAAGACAAAGTAGTGGAGGAATGGGGATACTGACCAAGATTGTCACAATGAGCCAATTTATTCTTTACAACACAATGAAGAAAGGCAGAGTGGAGGTGAGGAGTGATAGCTGGAGGAATGTCATCTGGAATAAGTATGTGTATGTGATGTTATAATTGAATATTTCAAAGTTGCAGCACATCTAGAATTTGGCTGTGGAAGTGAATGGCTGACGATCCTGATACTGACAAGATCATGCAATTTATAATTCAGAGTATGGGAAGGGGTGTTCTATTGTCCTTCTCAATTCTTGTCTCAAGATACATGGTCTTCTCACCATGAATTGTGAGTGTGTCACACATAATTTATTAAGAATAATCACTGTGAATTTATTAAAAATATAATTTAACAACCATTACGTGCCAGTTATAGAAATGATGGTGAAACTTGGTTCTAAAGGAAAAGCTTCAAAGTCTTTAGTAAAAGCAAAGAAGTGTGAGAAAGAAGCACAGGTTCATGTGGCTGGATGTTGTGAGCCTCCAGGAAAAGGGTTTGTTACATAGGAGGAACGATCTGAACTGCACTGAAGATGGACAACACTGGCCTCTCCTCCCAAACTCAAGAAGCCTCCAGCTCTGAGAAGGATCCCTTTGCAATTGCTGGAGGTGGGAGGTGGGCAGGGTCTTTGTAGAAGGCTCACTTATGTCAAGGTGTGTGAGGTAGAAGATGTGGAGGGAGTTGATGAGAGTGGAATGGTGTTCCAGAGAGAATATGGTGAAGACATATAGGAGGGAGGGTAGACTAAGGGAAAGAATGAACAGAACAGCTTACCTTTTGAGTGGAGAGTCAGGATGGGAGAGGAGGCAGCATGTGAGAGAACCAGCCAAATAATTTCTGAGAGCTAATCTACAAGTCTAGGCATAGGAAAGAGGGCTCAAACTACTTGAAGAGGAGGGAGTCTGGGTTTAGAGGAACTAGCATATTTGTCACAATGAAGCCTCTTCTATCGAAGGAAGCATTTTAATTCAGGCTCCATTCTGTATCCACTGTGTGAATGCTATGAAGTTTCTATATTTGTCTGTGTCTGTCTTTCCCCATTTCTTCAAAACGAGAAAAAAGAAAATGTTTCCAAACTTTTATGTGGCTGCTGGAATTGTATAATCATTTTATGTAAATATATATGAATATGTGTGGTTTCTAAGAGACAGACAGACAGAGAGCACTAATATAGCACCTGGTATATAACAAGAACTCATGAATTAATGATGGTTGTTACTATTATCAGTTTTCAATTTTCTATGTTTACTGAATTCTAGTCAATCTTACATCAATATTACTGTATTCTTTTTTGTTGTTGTTGTTTTTGAATATTACTGTATTCTTATCATGCCATAGCGAAGTGTATTTGAACTTTCCTGGCGTGGTCACTGGCAAGTTGGTTTCTATGAACACATCTTTCCTGCCTCAAAGGTTGATGTGTGTGAGGCAATAATAAAGCAGTGATATAAATTCTGTGGCCTCTGCATTCTCCTTTACCATTGCCCCATTCAGTCTGGTAGAATATAAGACATGCATCTTTTATAGTTTCATATTTATTTTTAAAGCCTGGCCTGTTGCCTTATTTTTGCTCAGAAACATTGATAATTGAATATTTTTTTGTTTAAGTAAAAAGCCAATTAAATATGATCCTCTGGATATCGTTATGTGGTAACTTTTTCAATTTAACATTTCCCCTAATACTACTCCATGCAGAATAATAATAGAAAATGTTCTTCAATCTGGAAATGTGACAGTTTACTCATCCAGATGAACATTTGGAAAATTTTCCCAAATTTCTGGATCTTTATTAAAGTCCGAAGCTCTTTTTTCATTTATCTCATCCTAAACAAAATTTAAGTACTGTAAGGAAGAGCATTCAGTAATCTTTTTGTCCTTATGGGAATTCTGCTTTTCTTTATCATGAGCCCTACTAAAAATAAATTGATATGTTGTCGGCCAGCTCCAAAAGAATTGATGATTTAATAGTCAAATAATATGTTTCATTAAATAGTAATTTCAGATAAAATAACTTGTATTCTCTCACTACAGAAAATGTTTACAGAATTTTACAGAAAATCAAGCAGAAGGGAAAATGGAAGGTCAGAATTCCCAGAGTCCTCAATGTTTCAACACATGTTCAGAGCGAAATGATTATATTCTTACACTGTCAAATGCACAACCAGTTCTGCAATATGGTAATCCTTATGCATCTCAGGAAACAAGAGATGGAGCAGATGGTGCTTTTTACCCAGATGAAATACAAAGGCCACCTGCGAGAGTCCCCTCTTGAGGACTGGAAGACAATGTTGTCTGCAGCCAGCCTGCTCGAAACCTTAGTCGGCCTGATGGCTTAGAGGACCCCAAGGATAGCAAAGAAGATGAGAATGTGTCTGCTGCTCCAGATTTTCCAAGTCAACATTTACGTGGGCATGGGACAGGCTTTTGCTTTGATTCCAGCTTTGATGTTCACAAGAAGTGTCCCCTCTGCGAGTTAATGTTCCCTCCCAACTATGATCAGAGCAAATTTGAAGAACATGTTGAAAGTCACTGGAAGGTATGCCCAATGTGCAGCGAGCAGTTCCCTCCTGACTATGACCAGCAGGTGTTTGAAAGGCATGTGCAGACCCATTTTGATCAGAATGTTCTAAATTTTGACTAGTTACTTTTTATTATGAGTTAATACAGTTTAGTGGTTAAAAATAATCACCTCAAATAGACCACTGAGAAACCATGGAGTGATGATTTTCATGCACCCTCTTGCACTTTCTGACCAAGAGCTACTTTGAGTTTGGTGTTACTAGGATCAGGGTCAGTCTTTGACTTATCAATACATTTTAATCTCTGTTAATCTTACCTGCTTGAAAAAAAATTCTTATGCATTCATAACTTTATTTATTCCCTAGTTTGCAGAATTGTCTGAATAAAGAATACAAGGATTATTTGAATGTTACTGCACTGAAAAATGTATATGTATAGTGTGCTAGATTATTTAGCAGAATATTTACAAGTTTCTGTTGACCTTGTTGATTGAGCATGACTACTAAATATTATGTAATAAAAAGCATTTATCATTAAAAAAAATGTTGACAGTATTTTAATACTGCCAAACTGGCAACTGCCTAAACATCTTTGTTAAAAAGAAAAACAAAAACACAGCTTTTTTTTTTTTTACAAAGTTCCAGAAATTCCACATGTACATATTATAATATGCAGTATCTATAATTTTTACAGCTTTGCAACTAATGAACTCTAAAATAGCTACCTAGTGTTATAATTTTACATTTACATATTTCTATCCTGACTTTTCTTTAATAATTTCATCCACTGTTCAACAGCAATCAGCAAACATCTATTTACTCAGTAACCTTCATCAAGCCTTTCCAAGTCATATAACATTAGTGCTTCCTACCCTAAAGAAATCTAACTGAAAACATCACTCATATCTGTGTTCAGTGCTGGAACAAACACTAGAATTCTGATTCTTGGCTCCAATATCTTTCTGTGGCCTAAACTTGTCTCTGAAATACCGTCTGCTTGATTACAAGTCAGGATTCTACAGAACACGAACATGTTTTTCTGCTGTTCTTAGGACATTTGTTCCAATGACTGGTGTAAATAGTTGGTGTTAAGGCCTCTCCACAGTAATAGCCTTCCCAGATAGAAAGGATCACAGCTGAGAAAATTAAGACAGATGTTTTAAAATTTTGTTTAAGCCCAATTTTTCTTTTTCTATATTGCTTTTAGAAGTTGAGGCACATGAATACTTTCTACGACCTTTTCTCTGAATGGAAAATGAATTTCCCTGCACTCAGCATGTCAAATCCTGAGAGACTTTCCCAGGCCGACTTTGGCCACCTCAATTTCTGAAATGTTGTGCTGATTACTTCTTTAAGATATTGTTTGGCCCAAGGTCATGGAACATATGAGCTCATTCTGAGCATGAAGCTCCCCAGAGAACAACAGTACAGGATGTCAGTTTGGTTATGGCATCTGAAAACTCATAAAAGCAGACTTTCATTAAAAGCAGTATTACCCCCCTCCCCCCTTGCCCTCTGAGAATGCACGTATGAATAATTAGGAGACTGTAAGTAGGGGCCAACCCGTAGTACACATTGCACCTGTTTTTTAAGTAAAAGGATATTGCTTTTTTTTTTTTTTTTTTTTTTTTTTTTCTTGAGACAGAGTCTCACTCTGTCACCAGGCGCCAAGCTGGAGTGCAATGGCATGAGCTCAGCTCACTGCAACCTCCCCCTCCTGGGTCCAGGCAATTCTCCTGCCTCAGCCTCCTGAGCAGCTGGGATTACAGGCAAGCGCCACCATGCTCAGCTAATTTTTTGTATTTTTTAGTAGAGACGGGGTTTCACCATGTTGACCAGGATGGTCTCGATCTCTTGACCTCGTGATCCACCTGCCTCAGCCTCCCAAAGTGCTGGGATTACAGGCGTGAGCCACCGTGCCCGGCCCCTATTTTCTCTTTTTCTTAGGTAGTCCAGTTAAGGGTTTGTAACTTTGTTGAGCTTTTAAAAAATCTAATTCTTGGGTCGGGCACGGTGGCTCACGCCTGTAATCCGAGCACTTTGGGAGGCCGAGGCAGGTGGATCTGGGGGGCACATCTGCCAGGACCTCTTGTCCAGCAAGAGGGTTCCAACCTGGATAGGGGGGTGCATGGAAGACAAAGATGATAGACAGCTGGGGTCTGGAGGGTTGAGAAGTCAATGCTTCACCAACAACTTTATTTAGCTCAGAGTCATTTTATATACATTTCTTGAAACTTCGCTTATGTCAGTTCAATACATTGTTCCGTGAGATCAAGGGGAACAGAAAGTTTTACAGTGAAACTACAAGTTACAAGGTAAATCAGGTGGTTACGTAGAAAGATCAGATACACAATGGAACCCAGCAGGTGGGTCTTGTTATCTATTCAATAAAAGTTCAGATCTATCATCTCGCTACACAGAAGTTTCTCCTAAGCTGTGACAGTCAATCACTACTGTCTTGACAGAACAAAGAAGAATATGCTTGTGAAAATGAACATACTGCTACACATGACTGCTAACCATCAGGTCACGGTGCACTTCAAGACTGCATGGCCATCTAGTGATTGTCCGCAGTAGTTTATCTTTAACCTAAAGCCTCTTTTAGTTCCTGCTTTTCTTAGCTCGACTTCCTCCAACTGGAGACTCTGTGTCTGGGCTCAAAGTCACCGCAAGGTGAGACCCAATTTACTAGGAGTCTCACATGGGAGTGTTCCCCACAGGTGGATCACGAGGTCAAGGGATCGAGACTATCCTGGTCAACATGGTGAAACCCCGTCTCTACTAAAAATACAAAAAATTAGGTGGGCATGGTGGCGCATGCTTGTAATCCCAGCTCCTCAGGAGGCTGAGGCAGGAGAATTGGCTGAACCCAGGAGGCAGAGGTTGCAGTGAGCCGAGATCGCGCCATTGCACTCCAGCCTGGGTAACAAGAGCGAAACTCCATCTCAAAAGAAAAAAAACACCTTTCTTTGGAAGACATCTGTGTATTTGCCTAGGCCCAGTTTGTTGAAGAGGTCAGGGAGGTCAGAGCCTTTGAAAGAGCCATTTAGGTTACACCCATAGCTTCCTGTCAGGGAGGAAATGTAGTCCACGTAATTGCTACTGCTGAGATAGTGTTCTGTTGATTTGTTTTGTTAACGCTTAGGGCTGCCTATAGAAGCTGCAGAGGTCTTTAGTTTTCTTTTCTTGTAGCTTTGGTTGTGGAATCAAGGTAATTTCAGCCTCATATGAATTTGAGAGTGTTTCCTTTCTTTAATTCCTTGGAAGAATTGAGGAAGGTTGGTATTGATTTTTGAGACAGAGTTTCACTCTTGTTACCCAGGCTGGAGTGCAATGGCATGATCTCGGCTCACCGCAACCTCCACCTCCTGGGTTCAAGCAATTTTCCTGCCTCAGCCTCCCGAGTAGCTGGGATATAGGCGCACGCCACCATGCCCAGCTAATTTTTGTATTTTTAGTAGAGACGGGGTTTCACCATGTTGACCAGGATGGTCTCCGTCTCTTGACCTCGTGATCCAACCGCTTCAGCCTCCCAAAGTGCTCGGATTACAGGTGTGAGCCCCTGCGCTCTTCCAAAGTGCTCTAGGCCTGTTGCCACAAACAGATATTTGGAAACCTTCATGAAACTGGCCTTTTCATACTCTGAGGGAGGCTTCACTGGGTACTTGCAAGAGATCAGAACAATCTGCTTTTATATAAAATAATGCAGTTTCTAAAAAAAAAAAAAAAAATTGTCCCCCAGAGGGGCGCTTGGCCCATAAATTTTTTTTTTTGAAACGGAGTTTTGCTCTTGTTACCCTGGCTGGAGTGCAATGGCTCAACCTCGGCTCACCGCAACCTCTGCCTCCTGGGTTCAAGCAATTCTCCTGCCTCAGCCTCCCGAGTAGCTGGGATATAGGCGTGCGCTACCATGCCCAGCTAATTTTTGTATTTTTAGTAGAGACGGGGTTTCACCATGTTGACCAGGATGGTCTCCATCTCTTGACCTCGTGATCCACCCGCCTTGGCCTCCCAATAGTGCTGGGATTATAGGCGTGAGCCACCACGCCCAGCCCCGTAAATTATTTTCTGTGCTAATTGCTTATCTATGTGATATTGTCAGGACATACGTTGCAAAAGTAATTCTACTAGACTGTGAGTTCCATGAGAGCTAAGAGCAGGAACTGCATTGTTTACCTGGTTGAAACTAGAAGTGCAAAACTCCCTCTCAAAAAAAAAAAAAAATAAAATTTACGGGCCGAGCGCAGTGGCACACACCTGTAACCCCAGCACTTTGGGAGGCCAAGGCAGGTGGATCACGAGGTCAAGAGACTGAGACCATCCTGTTCAACGTGGTGAAACCCCGCCTCTACTAAAAATACAAAAACTTAGCTGGGCATGGTGGCACGCACCTGTAATCCCAGCTACATGGGAGGCTGAGGCGGGAGAATTGCCTGAACCCAGGAGGTGGAGGTTGCGGTGAGCTGAGATTGCGCCATTGCACTCCAGCCTGGGTAACAAGAGCGAAAATTCCGTCTCAAAAAAAAAAAAAAAAAAAGGATGGCTTTAGAGTGCTGAACACCAACGACCTTCTCATAGCGGCTCTACACAAGTCTTCGTCTTCACACAATCTAGAAATAGCCTCTAGGTTCTGTGCTCTTTCTTTGCTAAGAGGAGCAAATAGAAAATTCAGGTTGTTGGCATCTGCTAAGGAGCGAAGGTCAAAGTAGTATTTGGCATAAACACTGGCACGAACATTAATAATAAACTGAAGAAGCTCCAAAAAATGCCTTTCCATTTCATTCATGTCCTCAACTGTAATGTCCTTGAGGATCTGGCAATAGTCCACGTTCCACACAGCCTGATCAGCCCAAACCTTGGAGGCAAGAAGAATGGCTCCCAGGACAATCCTTTTCCAATTAGGGGGACAAATGTCGATTTCAGCATAAGTTAAAAGCCTTTCTAAAAAAAGTTCCTGTTGCACATTCAGCTGTTATCTGTGCAGCACTAAAAAGAGTACGAACAAATCTGTAAATAAATTTGTGCTCAGGATCATGCTTAAAGTATTTCTCTGGAACTTCTTCTCATGTAAGTGGATGTGATCTCTCATCAAAAATATCCAGGGATTATTTGCATCTCTGTTCTTTATGTGGTAATATATTGCTAAGGTCACACATTTTACTGTGGTTCTAAGATTAGGCTGGCTGACTGTGCTGTCATCTAGAAATATTGTTGAGCATGAGCTATACTTTTTAGTAAACTGCCCTGGATACATGGTTTAAATGGTTGCTCTTCCTCTTTTCTCGCACATCTGTTTGAGATTTGCTCAGGAAAATTGTGCTTGCCCTTGGATGGTCAGAAGGGTTCGACTCCAAAGCTAAATCTTCGGGCATCTCGCGGTCGCTGATGTGCTGCAGGTGGTGGCCTTCGCCCTTTCCAAAATCCAACTCAGCAGGCTCCACAGCAGCGAGCGCTACCACCACGCGTCTCCCGATGCCGCCTCGTAGATGTCGGAAGCGCAGTACAGCTCAGCAGACCCCGCGCGCCAGCCCAGCT